AGCCGCAAGGCCCTGGTGGCACAGGTATGGGGCCCTGGTGCGGGGGACTGGCTGCTCCTCTCTCCTTGGCCCTGCCCAGTGCCTCTGGCTGGCAGTTCTGCTGCTTCTGCTCCCCCAGCCAGGCTGAGGGAAGTGCCCGGGGCTTGTGCATGGGTGTGGGGACAGGCTGGGGAAAGCCCTGTCCCTGTGGCTTCCTGGTGCTACAGGAAGCACCGGGGCCTGGCCTGGTCCTGCCAGCTGCCAGTCTTGCTGGGACTGCTGCCAGAGCCTGGCCCAGGACTGGCTCCCCAGGGGGTGCTAGGATGTGCCTGGTACGCACCCTGCCCTGCTCGGCCTGTCTGAGCCCACGGCCCCTATCTGTGCAGGTGATCAAGGAGAAGCTGCGCCTGAAGCCAGCGGCGGGGTCTGAGGCCCGGGGCAAGGCGGAGAGCAAGTCAGATGCGCCCGTGCCGCAGCAGGAGGAGGACGAGAAGGCACGGCTGCTCATCGGCCTCGGCGTGGGCGACAAGAACCCGGGCAAGAAGTCCATTTTCAGCAGGCGCAAGTGAGGGCGGTGCCCAGCTGGTCGGGAAGGGGCAGGAACAGCTCTGGCCGCCTTGGGGAGAGGGGAGCGCAGCCGCTCCTCGCAGCTGGCCCGGCCCACACCGCAGGGACTGTCGTTGCAGGGGTGTAGTGGGGCCGCGGCAGGCTGTTGGCTGCGTGCCGGGGTGGGGATGCCAGGCCCAGGCATCCACTCTTTGCACGGAGCCTTGTTTTTTATTACGGGTGTATCCCGCGCGGCTCTTGCTGGGCGTGGCGGTGTTGGTGTCACGGCTGGAGCAACCGTCCATGCTGCAGGAGTGTGTCCGCTCCGGCCCGGTGACTGTTGGGGAAGTGGGGACTGGTGGAGAGCATTTAATAAACAAGTTTTTAATTTGGATCTGTCTGCGTCCTGGCGTGATGGGCTCTTCTCTCTGGCCGCAGGGAGTCATGCCTGTGATCCTGCTACCTCTGTTCCCGCTTCCCCAGCCTCGAGCGCGTGGCTGAGCTGCTGGGGTGGTTTTCCTGTTTGCTGTGTGCTGCAGCGAGCCTGGGGCTGGGCCCTGCCCTAGCTTGCTGGGGTTTGGTGCCAGGCTTACCCCCTCCAGGCCCTGCTTGCCTGGGCTTCCTCTTCTGCCTGGCCCCGGGGGAGCTGGCACCTCCCCGGCTCCTACCCTGGGGGTCTCTAAGAGGAAGCTGGATGAACACCTTGCGGGGGTTGTTTGACCCCAGTACTCTCCTGCACCGGGCAGGGGGTCGGACTTGATGATCTGCTCAGTCCCTTCCAACCCGATCTATGAAACTATGAATCAGGCCGGCTCTGGTGGGGAGCTGCACACCCCTGCAATTGGGACTCCCCAGTCCCCAGCTTCACAGCTCTGGGATTCTTCCCCCATGGCCACTCACCATCCTTGGTGTGCATGCTGCTGTGGGGGCCCGGGGAGTTGCCAGGCAGCGGCAAGTCTGGGTGGGGGTGCATTGCCCCCCTCCTAGGCTGTGCTGGGCTGAGCCTGTCCAGTTTATCCTGGTGGGGAGCAGAGATGCTGCCTCTGCATCAACCTGGGTGGTGCTGGTAGGGACCGTCCAGCTGTGAGGCATCTGGGCACAGCTGGGGGGGGAGGCTGGCAGAGCCCCTCTGTGCCCAGCGCAGTCG